TTCTGTAAGTAAATATTTTCAGATTTTTTACAAGTAAGACTTTACAGCTAGAAGGAGCCGACATTTCCTAAGACGTACCCTAGGAAGAAACGCCGACATAAACCACAGAGTTCTTCTTTATTAGACCGTAAACAAAGTTAATTAAAAACGTGCGAGTATAGTATAGGGTCTTGGTAGGCCATTTGAAGAGTGGACCATAGTTTTGAGTCGGCCTGTCCATACATACGGCATATAGGCCCCAGCCATCGTGTAGGTTAACCGATACTGGTCAAGATCAACGACCCGAAGCACGACACTGCAGCCAGCAGGACATTTAGGTAGGCCGTAGAAACACTCAAAACCATCAAAACGTTACTAAAATATGATTTAAAATTACAAGCCTACACTATACTCATATTTACATACTTACGCAAAAAAACTATGCAATACAACGAAAAATAAAAAAATTCAAAACAAATAAAATACGAAATACAAAAAAAAAAGTCTCCATCACTCTCAAACATAACAACAATGATAGGAACTTGTGATAGGTAAATGTGGGAGTGAGCAGCAATCCCAAGCAAATTTGTCATCTAAATAATCTGTAACCGTGTAGTAAGCATTTTCACATCGTTTTTGTTTAACTAAGGACTTAAATTTGTTAATACTTAATTAAGTTTATCTTTATTTCTAGTGTTAATATTATGAATGTCGCTAAACTTTGTGAATAAGTGAATATTTTTCTTAACATACACTAAATTTTCATATATATATTGAGATGCGACTGTCATAATACCAATGTCTTTAAACTTATCCCTCAGTGACCGCCTATAACTGAGATTATAAATTGCGCGAATAGCTCTCTTTTGCAACACAAAGATACTCTGAATGTCAGTAGGCTTTCCCCACAACAAAATACCGTATGACATAATTAGTTTTTTTTCTTGTTTAAAAGTATGTTATTAACGTTGAACCAGTTCAGGACCTCTGAGAGAGTGTTATTCACATCGTCAGTAACTGATTGCTGTCGTTTCAGTTTAAATAAAAGTGAAGTGTCATCCGCAAATAGCGCTATGTCCTGGTTATCTTTTATCAGATTAGGTAAGTCATTTATATAAAAGAGAAACAATAATGGGCGAGAATTGAGCCCTGCGGAACCTCCAGAGTGACCAGAGACCCGAGGGACCTCTGTCCATTAACTTCCACTCTCTGGATCCCAAATAAGAGATAAGAAGATCCAAAGCAGTATTCCTTATTCAATAGTGATGCAATTTCCTCAGCAATGTTTCATGAAAAACGCAATCGAATGTCTTAGACAAATCACAAAACACATCCAACGCACCCGTTTTTCCTCCCAGGCACCAAATATACTTTCCAGAAGTTCAACACCAGCATGACTCACGAGCGACCTCTTCTGAAGCCAAATTGCTTTCTGTGTAGAATATTATTTACACTTACGTGAGTTTGTAGCTGGTCTAGTATTATTTTCTCAAAAAAAAAATACCGAAAGTAGGTAACACTGAAATAGGTCTATAATTTGTAGGATCAGACGTGCTACCCGCCTTAAATAAAGGAACGATCTTACTATGTTTCCTTAGGTCAGGAAATACACCACATTCAATGCACTTATTGAAAATGAAAGCCAACTTTAATGCACCTTCGCTAATAATTGACTTTGCTATTTGTACAGAATTAACAGGCTTTGAAAGAAGAAAGAGTGCCTGTAAAGTAGGTAGAATTTATTTTATTTATTTAAGAGAGTCTAGCACTCATGTAAGGTCGGTCACGGGAAACACTGATCAATTCAGTGTTTCTGTAGGCTTGCACCAGGGACACGGTACTATTATAATACAGTAGTGTAACTCGGCCGCATGATAGAAATAAATGCCTACAGCCGCGCGGTACGTAAACATGCGTTAGGGCTGCCCGTCTCCAGCATTTTAATTATATTTGTCTACTTTCTGTTTCTATTTAGATTTGTAATTGTAAATATCCTTTTTATATAAATAAATGAAATATTTTGTGTATTGAATAGGAAGTGTTCAATAAAAATGCGTGTTGTTTTTTGATTGGTAGATTTAATTATTTTATTTTCTTTCTGCATTGGAGGAGTTCAAGTTTCAATTTTCTTTTTCTTGGAGTGTTGCTAGAGAGACTCGTTGAGGTTTGTTTATCTTCTTTTAGAGATACTCCTGGATCAGTACTAGCTAAGCTTGGCAGCATCAACAATAGTAGGGCATTCTTTTTTTAAAGTTTTCTATTTGATGAATGTAATACATCCTCCAAATTAAAATGTTTTGTCACTTTGTGAAAATTTCGAAAACTATCTAATGACACACAGACGGTAAAAATTTTTTTCTAGTATTATTCATACATACAGAAAATAAACAAATATTATTAAAAATAAAATACCACGTCTTTACTTTGAATTATGAAAAGTAACAAAACACACATGCACCGAAGTTTTAACACAAGCGTAAGTAGGTAGGTAAGTACCTACCGTATCATGATTCATTCAGAACCTCATATAACTACCTATTTCACTCGTCTCAATAACTTTCCGTTACTCTATTCGCTTTATTTATTAATCCAAACACCTTTTTTTTCGTAAGATAAAAGGAAATACTTATCCATTAAAAAGACACACATTATGTACCTACCTACTAGTAAGTAAAATTATTTTATAGTCGCACCTTTCAGAGTTTCCAGGTAATTTAAAAAAACTTATGTCTGGATGCGTTATTGACGAATTCATACAACCAAAAACAGCACAATATTTCCTACTCGTCATATTAACTGATTTTTAAAGAAAAAATCGCGCGGTTATTGTGAAAAAAAAACAACACACCGTCCGTTCGACACTGCGGTACAGCCGTGACTGTCTGCGCCCCGAGCGCACCCCGAGATCGAGGCGCGTAGGTATAGCTCGTGTTTCGTCCGTTTGTATGAAGTTGGAGTACTGTATTATAATTGTACCGTGCCAGGGATCAGCTCTGAGCCCATACCTCTTCCTGTTGATAATGGATGCTCTGACATCGGACATACAGGAGGAGGCACCTTGGTGCATGCTATTTGCATATGAGATTGTGTTGGTCGGTGAAGATGGGGTTGGGGTCCAGAGCAGACTGGAAAAATGGCAGCAAAGACTGGAGAATGTTGGCTTGAAAATCAGCAGAACCAAAACTGAGTACATGTTCTGCAATTTCGGCGGTCTCTCCAGTCCTGAAACCATTTCGCTGGATGGGATAGCGATAACAGTCTGCTCGAATTTCAAGTACCTCGGCTCCCTCTTCAATGTGATGGTGAGATTGATCGAACTGTACAGCATCGAATCAATATGGGATGGATGAAGTGGCGGCAGGTAACGGGAACAACTTGTGACCCCAGTTTCCCTTTAACACTGAAGGGACAAATTTATAAAACTATTATCAGACCTGCCGTCCTGTATGGCTCTGAAAGTTGGCCCATTAAGAGAACGGATGAGAGACGCCTGAACGTAGCCGAAATGCGAATGCTGAGATGGATGTGTGGTGTGAGTCAGATGGACAAGGTTAGGAATGAGTATATACGAGGGAGTCTGAAAGTAGCGCCACTGCATGAAAAGTTAAGAAGTAATAGGTTATCTTGGTATGGACATGGCATGCGGAGGGATGAGGAAAATGTGGCGAAGAAAGTTTTAGGTATGAGAGTTGAAGGGTACAAGAGAAGAGGCATACCGAACAAGAGGTGGATGGACTGCGTCAGGGAGGATATGGCTAGGAAGGAAGTGAAGAGTGAGATGACGCATGACAGAGTAGAATGGAAAAATCATACATACTGCGCGGACCCCAAATAAAAATTGGGAAAAGGGTAGGCAGATGATGAAGCTAGAGGTTCCTAGAGGTGCCTCTATTGAAGGGTCTATTTGTAATCTATACTCTAAACAAATAAATAAAATTGAAGTGTCTGTTTGTAATGTCAAAATAATAGGTTTTTTCATGCTCACACGGTTATTTGCACGATACCTATGCCTAAAAACCAGTTAAAAAATATTTTGTCTGTCGGCCTATCTGTCTGTTTGTGCCGGGTAATCTTTTAAATGGCTGGACCGATTTTAATAATATTTTACTACCAGGTAGCTGTCTATATAAGGAGTAACCTTAGGTTATTTTTCCTCTCAGAAAAACCCATTAAAATTTTGACCAGTCCGGGAATCGAACCGCCTGAGGCAGCGCTTCTCAAATTCCACGCGAATGAAGTCACGGGTACCAGCTAGTCAATTATATGTCTGTGCCTGTGTGTTAGTGAAGAAGGAGGACGTGGGTTCGATTCCCACCCAGGACAAATATTGTGTGTTGAGCACGGTCATTTTTTCTATCATCATCATCATCATCAACAGCCTTTAACAGTCCACTGCTGGACATAGGCCTCTCCTTAGAAAGGAGGTTTTGGCCTACTGTACCACGCTGGCCAGACGGGTTGGTATAGGGTTTGTGTCAAGTTTTCCTTCTCTTTACAGTTTTGTTGTCCTGCATAGTTTGATTCCTTAGTCGGCTCTTACGACACCTGTGGTGACAATCCGTATTCTTAATCCGTCACCACATGGAATTTTTTTCTTTGTTTAGGTGTAATTTATCTATAGTATGTATGTATTTAAAAAAAATAGGTATGTTTATCAGCAGTCTTGTTACCATAGTACAGGCTCTGCCTAGTTTGGGATCAGACAGCCATGTTCGAGATGTGTGAGGTATGTTATTATATTATATTATTTCCAAGGAGTTGAGCCTTATGAGAAAAAACGGCAATCAAACTCACAGCCATTCTTTTTCAATTATATTGTAATGTTGCAAAATAAAGGATTTTTGTAACTATGTGAACTAATAATGTAATAATAATACTACTAATTAATTATGTCACAGATAACAATAATGCTCTATCCCGGTTAAAGAAAAGACGGATTTAAATTTTTTTTGTTGATCACACTGGCTTCCGTAATCTTTAAAAGGTACTAAATAAAAAACAAAATAGTTCATTTATGATTGATGAAGAAATGGTACTTAACTTATTTATTGAAAAAAGTTTCGACTGCAATACGATAATTTTTGAATACTCAAAACAAAAAGGTTAGTTTTTAAATCAATGTATTCCTTCTAGAATATCAATTAGCCAATGCTATCACTAATGCAAAAGATAAGATACGAGAATAATTGTATATTGGTTAGAGCGGTCCGCCCGCGCCGCCCGCCCATTTGCCAGCCCGCCCAAAGCTCACGCACCGGATATATAAGCCGGTGCCAGCCTTCCAACGGCACAACGCACTACAACCACCGGCACTCACGACCTCCTCTCTCATCTCCGAAAGCAGACGATCACAGGTTAGTACACCTTTAAAAAAAAAACGATTACATTTTTTAAAATAATTGTCTATATAATTTAAATCAGAACGGTTTAAATCGGTAAATGATTACAACAAAACCAAAAAAAAACCTTATCACCATAAATGTTCAACACACTATAAACATTTTATTAAGTATTCAACTAACTATTCTTAAAGTTCATTAGAGTTGCAGGATTATTTTGTTACTTCCCTGCATACAATTTGTCTTTCAATTTTCGGTCTCAAAATATATAATATTAATCAATAAATATTACAATCCAATAATATTTTTCTAGTGACAGTAAAATGATTTATTGCGACTTCTTGTCTGTAACATTGTCATTGAATTTAGCTTCATAAATAAACGTATCAAATACACGTGTTGCTCCAATCGAAATGACATCGAGTTCACCGACGTTCACAAATAGCTTCCTCATCACATAATCAGCTTCTATTATTTTCAATCAAACGTCATTTTCCTTTGACGCTTTTAGAAAGATACGTCAGTTAATAATGTCAGAATCTGAGATTCATTAGGTATTTGAATATATAATTATTATAAAACATTTATTCGTTTATATATGTACTTATAGGAAAATCTTCTTGCTTGTGCTGCCATGTAATGGTAAATATTTTAAACGTATATGTCATATTTTAGACTAGAATTATTTCATTTGTTACATTTATACCCTGGGTATTCTATTTCCAGATATCACATGTAATTTTTAGATATTATTTTATACGTGTTTTAAATGAATATCTTATACCACTTTTGTATACTATGCTATAGATAAATGTAAGTCGTTGTAAAAATCCTCAATTCTAACTCGCCTATACATGACAAAGTGAGATTGATTTTTATTACGCTTTCATATCTAAAATATAAAGCGATCATTATAAAATTTTGCAAACATGTTGTCATCGATATAAGAATATACATAAAGTACTGTTCCCAGGGGATATCCAAATAAAATTAGTTAATTGATCAAAATTCTATGAGTGTAAGGGTTAAATGCATAATTTTTGATTTAATGGCTTCGGGTTCGAATATAGCACCTGTAGATAAAATAAAAAAAAATACAGACTACAAAGCATTATAACTTAAATTCTTTGCTAGGACTATTGACAATTTGTGATCCGTGTTAGTAATATTATGTTTTAATAAAATCCACGCATACGCATGTTATGTATATTTTTGAGGTAGGAAAAATATAATTAGTTTCGTATTGCAGGAGTTCATCTTTACTACTAGCTCATATTTGTTATTAAATAACAAAATTCTTTTTCGATGGCTGCTAGTATTTTTCTGCCCCAGATCCGCTTTTACATTGCAGTTCAAATTATTAAACTTTATTATTTTTCACATTATCTGCCGAATGGGTGTCATGAATGACTAAAAAGGGGGTTAGCTTTTTATTTTCATCTACTTAAGTCCAGTTAACAGTAGTATGATATTCAGAAATTATCCAAGATTACACAACGCTATAGATGTCCATACTAAATAGAGCTCATACCTAATATTCTACAATTGTAGAACAAGGAAAAAATCTCTATAATATTTGTTTCGGAAATATATATACAAGTATGGCACATTTACGCATAAAAATATTTGTTATATAAAGTGTAACTACTAAACCTTATGATACCCACTAAAACTTATACTACTCGTATATTGTTCTAATTCATTATCTACTTTTTGCAAATACATTGTATAAGGCGGACTTAATGCCATTACATTTTCTTCCAGTCCCACTTTCGGTGATGCAGATCTGTGCGGCAGGTGTATAATTAACTGTATATTTAATTCAAATATTTTACTTGGACTTTTTTTGAAGTTTTAAAACATTAGGAATATATGGACGTTGGTATTTAAAATATATTAAATAAAGTGTAAAAAAGTACGTAAACACACACATATTTATGATGTATTTCTTTAAAAATAAATGCCGTTCCTGCTTCCGTATTAGTTTACCACATTACTTATATTTACTTTTATGAACAATATTTTAATAAACATTACAACATCATCAATAATTATAGAATGAATAGATAGACAGGATGATCGATTCAACTCTTTGTACAGCTCTGCATTTGTCATCGAATGAAGATATATCAGACACCAATAAAAGCACAGAGGACAATAGGGATTGCTCTTCGAAATATCGACATAAAAGGCATATTATTCTATTAGTATTTCATGAAAATGGAATTTGTAATATGCTCATTGAACATATCTTTTATTAACAACTATTTAAAGAACACAAATATTTTATTTAAAAACAGTATATGCAAAGCGTATGACACAATTATTCACATTTTAATAACTTAAGCGTTGATGTCTTTTTCAGAAACTTATTCTAGGTAGGTTTTAGGTAGGTTTGATGTTTTTTTAAAGTCAGTCAAAAATATAACAATGTTTAAGAAACTCATCATGTTGTGTGGTTTTTCTTTCCAGGTCTTTTATTTTCCTAGGGTTCATTCTTGGGTCTCTCAAATTTAGGATTCTCTAAAATTTATGTATTTGTCACTTGATATCATAGGTCATTTCTATCACGTGGTGTCCCTAAATCAGTATTCTTCTTGATAATTGTTTCACCGTATCAAGCTAAGAGAAATGACCAGAGGTCTTTTTTATTTTTCTGTTCGTATTACATTTTAGTGGATGAAGAGAGCAGATAAAAAAACCTGAACGGATATATAAATGATTTAATATCATTATATATGTATAATGTATATATATATATCGTCCGTAGGCTCTATTTTTCCACTTCACTACTACAAACTTATTTGACATCTTATATTTAGATAAAATATCTTTCAATTTTTAATAAATTAAATATATAGTTTCAATGAAATCATACGGTTTATTACATTCGTATCGTAAAGCATATCTCAATGCAATTTCTTTATTGAATTTTATACGATCTCCTGCTTCATGATATTGTGAATCGCCTCGCATTTCTGTAGCTCAGTAGGAGCTTAGGATTTAATAAAAATTACGTAAAAAATCTTAAGAGACAACCAACTCGTTTTTTTATGATGTATGTTAGCAGTACTGCCTTATATGTCTTCCTTCTTTTTGATGTCAAGGTATACTGCCGAAGTTCGTTATTTAAATAGCTGGTTACTGAAATCACACTTAAAATAATTCAACTAAAATGCCATTTATAAATAGGATACTACATAGAAAGATATTTAGCAACCAAAATGTTCTAGGCAGAATGATGCGAAGTGCCGGCGGAGCGCTGGCCGTGGCCGTCGCCGCGCTGCTTGTATGCTGCAACGCTGATCCACACCAGGTAAGACTTCCAACGCATATTTTCTTCTTATTCATGTATTTTTATGGATTTCTATATTAGTATTCTCCTATTGCCAGTGTATATTGATGGCAATTTATATACTACGTCAATGGGACCTACATACATATTTCTGAATAAATTTAAAAATCGGATTCGTAAAATGTTACTTCTATAATATATATTCTATAATATTATCTTCTTCTATTTTAAAAAACCGTGTTACAAACTAAGTCGGTTTTTTCGCTATGTATATAACAAAATAGGTACAATGTTTTCAATCATAACCTCACTGTAAAATTCGAAGGAAGGTAAAAAAGTGTGTATATGGTGTATCATATTTTAAGTATTATAATTATGTTATATCCAGACAGAGATAACTTTACGAATATGCATCTTAGATTAGTTTAAGTTAACAATACATAATAAATCCTTAAAATTGAACAATTGATGAAAAAGTACTAGGTACCAATACATGATTTATATAATGCACTAAATTCTTAGATACACGCATATTCAAATTAATGCTACAGGTTTAGCAATCCAACTTTTCATTTAATAGACATCCAATAGTACAATACATTAGTTTATTAAAATACCTTGTTAAGTCTAAAGCTATTTCATAACTATTGGTATTGAACATCGGAACCGGAATTTGAATCCACAATTACGCTCTTAGGATTTAGTAAAGGCACTCAGAGCAACCACGCGATAAAATTACATAATTCACTAAATGCAGGCGAAATCTACAGTTGCTAAAATGGTCCATTTCTCTTTATCATTATTTTATTTCGTTCTACAGTGCTAGTAATACACCGCAATTATAGAATGGCAGATTTATTAACTAACAGAATAAATGACGAATTGTGATTGGGCCCTTTCTCCGAAAATGCTATTAAAATATAAGCTTCAAATTAAGCTGTTTAATGTTTTGTAAGTAAAGTAGAATATAAACTGTAGCCTTTTTTAATTTGAACTTTATAAAACAGTATATGTACAATATTAAATTGATGTATATACTTCAGGTATTGTTATCGACGTGTCATAGTCACAAATTTGTGTTGCCGAGCCATGCATCGGATGATGTGCATCATATAACATCTTTATCTATATTTATGTTACTTGGATATATTCTAGATCGGAATTCAAAGAAAATTATCAGTCATTATAAATAATTAACTTCAATTTTACGTCTAGACATATATCCCTAGGATAAAGAAGTATTTCATAATAAGCTTCTCTCAGGTCTGAATAAAGAGAGTATTAGAATATATAAAAATAGATCACGGCAGTTTTTAAAATGTTAAAGTTACTTTAAAGCCTTTTTGCTTTAACTGGTCACAATAGTACGGTTAAATTTATAAAACTAAATTCTTCTAACTTCAAACCAAAGATCGTTTTAAAAAAAGAATCTTGAAAATGATAATTAAAAGCTATTTTGCCAGTCTTAGGTTTGATTCTGTATACATAGATTGGTGAAAATTTGCGTTCCATGCAAAATGCAATTTAAAATCACCAATATTTGAAGTTTATTTTTGAACTTAAGGGTTCGTATCGGTGTTGTAGACAGAGATTAGCAACCATTATCATGTTTAATTTTGCCAACCCTGCTCATCGTTAGATAAGAAAAATAATCTTAGTATCCAACAAATATTCATTAATGCAGTTTGTGTAACTTTTGCGTTGCCTAACTACTTCTTTGTACATCATGAACACATATATTGGCAAGAGTTACAGGAAAGCACATGGGCACCTTTCAAACCAAAAAAAGACTATTTTCGACTGATAGACATGATAGACTGATAGACAAACTTTCCGCGATCAGCAAAAGCTAATTATCTGCACAATATTGATATGTTTTAAATAATGTTTTAATGTAAATATGTTTTAATTAAAAAATATAAATGGAAAGCTAATTTCATTCTTTACAATACATATTTGCTTTCCTATTATAATATAATTTACAGATCATTTTCCCTTCAATGAATAAACCGGGATGAATTCTATTACATATACAAAGAGTTGAGCAGGAAAGGATAGTTATGATTGTACACCATTACTAATTCTGTAAAGCATCCGTATTACACTTATTATATCCACAACAAAGTTTTAAGAATATCATTAATGTCGTAAGTACTATAATTTTTTAATAACTTCGCTTTGAATTTCTAAGTATCAGCAGATACAATTCATCAATAAAAAGATACGATGGATAATACCCTAGAAAAAAAATAGCTTTCAATCATTCAAATATATCACACGTCTGGAAAAAATCTCAGCTAGCTCTCGCCACTACAGTATTAGTACAAAAGTACTTTGTCATAGATGCAGCCAAAATAGTGTAGTTTACATACCTAGTGTATATAATATATTTGTATAAATATGCTTCTTCCTTCAGTCGACCAGTGATATTTCTTCCTTCCGTTCTACAAAAGATTGAGTGAAACACTGTTTTTTCCACTGCCGTTTTCCAAAACAAATTCAAGCAAAATGAGATATTTACGTCTTTTATAATAACATGTTAGCAATTACACACAGGTGAAATTGTCTAATTTTTTATTGTACAATGGGTATCTGTCCGCACTTTCAAACATTCTTCATATTAATTCTCAACTTCAAGCCTTCTTCAACTTCAAGCTTCCTGTAGTCGTTTAAATGACTGACATATAATGTCAGTCATTTAAACGACAAAAGGACGACCGTTTAAACATTATCGCCAACAAATATATAATTTGTGTCTAAGAATCTGTTACAATATTGATTGAATGCCTACTGATTACAAAAAGTTTGAAGACGATTGCAAATCGAAAAAAATGAAGACGAAATGCAAAAGAATGTACTTGATTTTACTTACTTCATATTAAAAAAAAAACAAGTTTTTACAAATAACATCACATTATTGAAATACTATGCGTGATTCCATAATTATATAATTAAGTAATTATAATTATCATTCCATTATGTCTTTTATTGAAAACCTATTACAGCAAAGACTTAGAATTAAAATGTTCTCATAAAATCAGAAATTACTGATAAAATTAATAGGCATTCTTGTCTAGTGATGTAATCTAATTTTATAAAGATAAATGCGTACTTCATAATAACTTCACGGTCTTACAGTAATTAACCGACTTCAAAAAAAGGAGAAAGTTCTCAATTCGACTGTTTTTTTTTTTTTTTTATGTTTGTTAGCTCAGAACTTTTGTTTTAATAACATGATCCGGTGCTAAAAACGTATTTAATTTATTTCTTAGCTTGCATACTACTAGTCACTAGGTTCATAATGTTTTCAAGATACTTTTAATGGTATTTACGTAACTCAAATAAAACAAACAATTTTAGTTAATAAAATATACCTGACTGAAACCAATACTTTTACACAAATGCTCAATGTTCATTAGTTAGTAGGTACAAGATATCATTACAGTTCATGTTCATTTTAAATGCGTAAATACACAACACGCTTTCAATGAACAAGAAAATTTTATATTCGTTAAATCATTGTGGTAAGTTAACAGGAAAATTATACTACGCGATATGTTTACTTAAATTTAACACGCGTCATTTACAAAATTTGAGTACATTCAAGGCAATTTTATTACGTGCCTCCGTACAACAGATGAAGTAATGCTTACTAGCGGTCAAAATAAATATTAGGTCTACTAATATGTTTAATAAATGAAATAAAGTAATTCATGATAACTTCCGCCTCGATATTGACACTGGTAGTTACTTAATTTGTAATTATCGTTGCGTGTATCAATAACGAGAATTAAATAAGTAGTTAAAAATGGATTTATAGAAGAGAACAAAAGTGAATTAAACTGATCAAAATAATCGAAATGAAGTTATGTTGTGTATTCACGGTTTCACTTTATTTGATAGCATTCTATAACTGTATTCAAGTCCTCCCATATTTTGGGAGTAAATTCATCAAAAACTGTTAACTATGAATTCTTAACCAGGAACAAGACGTGAGCGGAAGCGACCACAACTCCGGAGAACGCTACGATGCCGCCGGTAAGCTTATCCTTAAACCCTCTCACAGTACATACATTCCCAAGTTCCACACTATTGTTAAATATTGAATTTGTACGCACACATAATGTTAACACGGTTATATTTTACCTAGCACATTAGAGGATAAAATTAATCAGCTGCAAGGGTAATATTTATATTGAATTAGTTCATACAAAGAGAAATTGCTTAAATTTTGTAATGTATAATATGAAAATATACTAAAGTCAGTTTTGATGTTTAAAAATTGAACTAATTCAATTGTCCATTTTGTAGAGATTTCAAATGCGTGAGCACCAAACATGATTTTAAAATATCTTGCACCGTTTTTAAGCTGCTAATGTACTGTACACCATACCCTTTCAAACCTAATTTATTACAAAGTTTCAAGTTATGTGATACTTACTATTACTTACAACTGTTATTAAATTCTGATACAAACTATTCTCCTAAACACCCTAAGCTTATAAGTTAGTATTCGACATGCGTCAGCAAGTAAAGGCGAGCGTTTATAGGTAAATAAAGCAAAATGAATCTTTACTATTTAAATTTGGTAGAGCTGAAATTAGTACCTGTATTGTCTTTGTTATAAAAAATTGCATAACTTGAAATCCGTTTTTACACATGCACACTAGTCGGAAGTTATTACTCACTCCCCTGCACAACAATTTCATATTTTAACTTACCTTGTTTTGTGAAGTCCGTGAGAAACTGCACTTAGTTTGTAACTAAATCCTCTCCGTGCACGAATATTTTAAGGTGATGGAAAGCTGCACAAATCACAATGTTTCGTCCCTGCACAAGGTTGAATCATGACGCTTGCGTAAACAAAATATACATGTTATGCACATAGTGAGGTAAGTACTTGTTATTATAATGTCCATTTTTGTAAGTACAGCCCTCATCTGTTTACAATCGCTTAAACCTAAGATCTCTTGATGTTGTTACAGATTATAACCGAAAGGAAGAATTAGAAGATTTCCTACGGTTCCTCTTACAATACGAAAATAAAGCGTCACAACGCAGTTTCCTCAATGGCATCAGTGGTAATTCATTACTAGGAAGAAACCTCGAGGGCTTATACGGGCGAAGCCGTTTGGTAGGTATCGGGGGCAGCACACTTTTGGGAAGGAACGCTGACTACAGTCAGTATGGTACAAACAATCACAATATCGAAGAATCATCTCTGTTGGGCAGGAATTTAAAGGGAATAGGTGGTTCAACTCTCCTCGGAAGAGATCTAGAAGGAGACAAAAGATTACACTCGAGATTCATTGATTCCCTCGGCGGCGGAAATTTTGTTCGTAACCTGGACTCTATTGGTGGAGGCAATTTTGTAAGAAACTTGGACTCTCTCGGTGGAAGCAATTTCGTTAAGAAAAATCTAGACGCACTTGGTGGACCAAACCTCGTCAAAAGGAATTTGGATTCTTTGGGAGGTGGCAATTTTGTCCGAAATCTAGACTCCATCGGAGGTGGAAACTTTGTCCGCGAACTAGATTCCTTAGGAGGCGGCAACCTGGTTTAAGCCACATTAATGTTTACTAGTTATTCAATTAATTATCTAATTTCTTTTTCCCAAATGAACAACATATATGTAAGCATCTATAAGGTTTGATTTATTGAATTTTTGCCATCACTTGTCATTTGTTGTTGAAATTTTAAATAAATACATTGCAACCAATGTAGTGTCTTTACTTATCCCACATAAAGCTAATATTCGTGTTCAGGATAATAATGATACAACCTCCATAAGTAAATGATTTAAGAATGTCAAAGTACCTCTTACGACAGGTAAGGTTTGCTCATCTTAAATGTCGTTTTTGTAATATTTTGTGAGAACTGTTTCTTAAATCTACACCACAATATACCTAGGACACAAGACTCGGAACCTGGAACCCCTTGGAGGTGGAAATCTGGTCCGTGAAGCGCGCGAGATCAGACGTTCAGCATATATGCCGTACCTTATTTCTAGAAGATACGATTTTGGAAGGTGAGTAACTTTATTCACACACCAGGTATCCAGCAGCGCATAATTCATCTATGAGAAAGGGGAAATCATGGATCCTTTTTCTCCGAGATCATTCCCAAGTATGTTGCTCATACAAATCCGTATCCAATCACAACAGAGACAGAAAAAAGACACTATTCTAAAATAACTTTAGGTTAGCAGTCTTTTGATTTAGCAATGTTATTATTTTCACCAAACAAAAGTAAGTTGGTAAACTTGTGTGTGATTTAAAGGTTAATAATAATTCTTGAATTCGTTCAAAGATGATTATAATAATAATAAGCTCATATATCACACAGTAGGCCAAATCCTCCTTTCTAAGGGGAGGCCTATGTCCAGCAGTGGACTATTAAAGGCTGTTGATGATGATGATGATATCACACACACGGGAGTCTGATCCCAAACTAGGCAGAGCCTGTACTATGGTAACCAGACTGCTGATAAATATAATTAAATACTCTTAAATACATACATATTATTGACAAACCACACCCAGATATAGAACAAACGATCGTGCTCATCACACAAATACTTGCCCTGGGTGGGAATCGAACCCACGACCTCCGGCTTAACAGTCAGGGTCACTAACCACTAGACCAGACCCGCCAAACAACAAAAGATAAATTTGAAGTAGATTTTTGTAATAAATTACATTACAAAAGTAAGATATGTACGTGACTTTTTGCTATTAACTTATACTTTTTTTACATTCAATCATAATGACACATACCCTAATGTTTTGTAACTTAAAACTGCATCAAAAACATAGGTCAAAAGTATAAGTAAAAGTCAGGGCAAAATAAAAACTACATATATAATATAAAAGGAGTGTTTGGTCTCAGCCCGTACGGCGGCAAGCGTGAACCATGGCCGTTGGCGCCCGTTGAATACAGCGGATATTACGGAGATGGACTCCCCAAGCGCAATTTCGACGAAATCGACAGGTAATGTAAACCTCTCTTTTTACTTTTTTATTTGTTTTACCGTTCCATCTAACATCGATGAAAGTTAAACATACTTCAACTACGTATATGTTCGTTTTACTAAAGCAAATATAGAATTACTTTAGGCTATTTTAAACTTTATTGTCCGACCGAAGCAGGTGTTTACAACCGAACCCGAAAACGAATTTCGCTATCAGTCTCAGTTTGTCTAAAACTAAACTAAGCTGAAACCGAAAGTTTGATCGTATACTACTTTAGTTATATATATATTTACCCGTATATATTGTACATTAGCTGTATCAATTTATAGTATAGATTTATCATTATCAAATTCTGACCTAGGGAGAATGAGCTATGTTAAACATCAAAATGAAATCAATTTTGCACGATACGTGTTTGTATGACACGGTTCAGTTGACCGATACCGACTGAATTGCTTTGACGTTTAAATTCCAAAATGTATATGAGACCTTTGCTGGGAAGTAAAGGAAAAATAGACAAGTAAATATATTTGCATAGTACTTTGAAATACAAACTTTATGTGTGATATTCATATTTGGTATATGTAAGGTTTGACACCATCGCGTCAAGACGTTTCACTCCTCAGAGCCCTGAATGTGATCTTACATAAGTACAAGTGATTTTGGAAGTAGTTATCTTGGTGTCATATCGCTTAAAAACATCATTTTGTTAACTTCTGGCCTTTGAAAATTTACTGTTAAGTATTTAGGTATGTCGATGCATTTTTAGAACGGAAAGTAAGATTCTGTCTTTTGCAAAAAATACGAGTAAAATTCTTCGAAAAACGTTTCCCGAGATAGACGACTATCTATATACAAATTTGTACGATACTTTCGGTAGCTGAGTCAGTCTCACAGTTTACCGATTTTTATAATTCGTACAGTGTACAATAATCCTTTAAAAAAAAATTAAACCGACTTCAAACAATACTAACAGAGAGCACTAAAAAACAACCAGCAATAGCGGTTGATTTGCTGTCATTCTTGAAGAGTTCCGTTGTCTGTCTCCGAAACTCATCATCAAATCTATATGAAACTGAAATGGGGCCATTTCAAAATAAACCCTTTTCAAACAAAAAAAAATAATTTTGAAAATCAATATATGACGGAGTTATGCCCGAACATACATAAAAAAAAATAAACATCCGAATTGATCACCTCCTCCTTTTTTAAGTCGGGAAAAAAGCATACAACATTTGTGCGGTTCTGTAATTTAATATATTTTTTAGTTGAACAACAAGCTGTGTGCTTGTATTCTTGTTTAGTATTGCGAGTAGTAGTTTTGTAATCATAGTTGAGTAATTTGTCACTCGTCCCAGGGTTAAAAGCGTTTTAATTATTACTTATATAGGCCAAAACTCTTGAACACTGTAGTTAGTTAATAATATATAACAGTCCTACATTACCGTTTTCCATAAAAGATAATTTAGGCAGGTGTTCCTTATTCCTAATTGCTACCGTTGCCTTGTATGATAATAATATGCGATCGTATCATCATGCAATTATTTGAACTCTTCACAAATAAACAGCACCTCCGCTATAGTAATTATAGCCAAATATATGGCTATATAAATTGTGATAAATAAATAATATAAAATAAATAAAATTTGATCTTTACCGTAACGTAAATATGATCGCAACAATTTTTTTGTCATTGAAACTTTTTCATCGTTGTCTTTAATGTACAAATGAACTTCGGTTTCGACTGCGGTACGATATTATAAAAGTTCGAGGACAAAGATAAACAGATGCTATGATAACCAGTGACTGAAAAATAATAAACATTTTAGTGTTCCACAACGTTCGCTCTCACCGGAAACCCTAGATAATTAAATCATGCTAATTATTGTGCTGCCCACCAGTATTATACGTACTACCACTCAAAGAGAATTTTCCTAATTAAGTTATCTGTTATAGAGAGTATTCTCTGAAATTGTCATTTGTTGTTATTAACCACAACCATTAACAGTTAAATTACTATGTGAATACACAATATGCTGCAACTCCAATAATACCTAAGAATATTATTCTCATTAAAAATATAAACGCGAAAGTAAGTTTGTTTATATGTCACGCTTGCACGCCTTAAATACTAAACAGACACTTGACAGTGATCCGGAAGAGAGAGATAAACGGAGTCGAGTGCAAAAACAAGTGAAAAATAAAAGACTTCTTTACTAGGAGTTTGTCGTTTTGTGGTTTAAGTGTAATGTAGTATAAAGTAATGCGAGTAAAGAAGAGTAAGAATGTAATATAAAATAACAGAAACAGAATGATCTGTAGCTTTTTTTTAATTCTGGTCTGTTTTAAACTACTGTATACTGGTCATAGTGTGGTTATGTCATTAGAAATTTAAGTCATTTCGTCTGTTATTTTAACTATTAACGTTAATCACTATATAATTTTTTTTTACGATCCCTAGGTCTGGCCTGGATACATTTGTGAAGAAACGCAACTTCGACGAGATTGACCGATCATCGATGCCGTTCCCCTATGCCACCAAACGCTTCTACCACCTGTACGAACCTAACTACCTAGATATTGACACACCTGTGTAAGATGTGTTAGCGGCCATTCGTTGTACGAAACACAACACTTTTGATGTGTGTGAACTGAGGTGCTTGATATGCAGCAACATACTGCTACTGGTGACCTGTAACACAGGTCTCTTTTTTTAAACCTGCATCAGGCACCAGGCACAAAGGTGGAATTCGTCACTACCTACTTTAATATATTGTCTTAGGGCATCCGTTTGTCAAAAGAGAATAAACTTTATTATTATTATTATACTGCACGTGCTCTACATACACTAATAATAATCTCGAATATATTTTAGAAACAACAATACAATCTTACCTTCAGTAGCTCTGACAATGGTCGATTAAGGAATTTGAAAATATTCTGATTGCACGATTCACGATTAATTTCTACTCTAATTTTAATTGTAAAATATTTACGAAAACTTAATAAGAATTTCTGCACATTTTTTTAAACATTTATATTTTATATGGGTTGTCCCAGTTAAAATATTCGGCATACGACAATCTTTTTCACTTTCGTATTTTAATTCGCTTTTTATAAAAAAATACGAGTAACTGTCGCGTCAACTGAAACGTTAAATCAATTATTTAATCATGTCGATGCACCAATATTTGAATGACACTTTACATGTAATTCTTACCCTCCTTAAGCGTTATGATTGAAGAATTTATATTTATAACAAGCAAGTCAGACATTTATATGTCCAGCAGTGGACTAGTAATGACTGTTGATGATGATGATGAAGTCAGACATTTGCCGTAACGGTTTGACAAAGTAGAATATTTAATATGTATAATATATGTAAATTATAATTTAACTCATAAATGGAGGGATACCGAAACTTATGTAAATGTATGTAAATGTCCTAAATCAATAAAGATTTTTAGAACGAATAACGAATTCAAATATATGCAATGATAATATTAACTTACACTCATTGGTTTGTAATTTTCAATAACTGTTTTCATAGTTAACATATTCTCTGTATTTCAGTCCAAGCGGAGACAAGAAGAGATACCGACCCGACTTCCCTATGGATGAGATTGACCTATCCCACTTCCCCATTGGCTCCAAGAGGTCACCGGACAGTTATCCCCTGGTGCCCCGTAACCTGCTCTAAACAAAAAATCACGCAGCCGTGTCAGTTCAGGAATAATACTCACATTCTTTTAAAAAAAATTGGGACAGTAGAAGTTGAAAAATGATTTAAAAAATGACTAATGGTCTTTAACTTTCCACAAGTTTCTTTTTTCTAAAAAGTTTAAAACTAATATTTTTTGAAGTTTACTTGGCTATGTGACGTAAATCGAAGTTAATATTTTCTTTCATTGGGATTTCTATTCAACTATGCTGCGACAGATAACACATTAACTTTACACTCATAGATTTATATGATATTGTATATTTCTGATATTGTAGTTACAATTATAATTAAGGAGGGAGAGGTTTAGATTCTTTATATTATATCAGTATTATCTTACAACGTTAGACTATTGAAAGAAAATAATATTGTCTGTGAATGAAGTTTCTCAGTTATAAACATTAAAAAAAAATGTAATTATATCTTTAAGTTACTTTGATTGTGAAATAATTACAGAGTAAATAAGGAAATATGAATGTTCAAGTTGTGTCTTATTTTATTTTAAAAAGAAACCCTGAAGTTGCCCTACTGTGTGTAAATCACTATTTAGTGTACTTACAGACATTAAATAGTGAGTTACACACATACATAGGTTTGTACTTCAAAGAAAAAAAACGAAGAGTGCTAGTTAAAAAAGACATTGAAACAGAAAACATCGGGTTATCCATTCGGTGTAATGACCTAAGCTTTTATCTAGGCACCTGTAAGAGGTGAAGATTCTATGCAATTCGTAGGAGTATTCGTAAATGCGGAAATTTCAGCAACGCAATATCATTAAAAAGTATATAGTAGACCATTGACACAAAGATATTTCAACAGCTCTAATAACAACTACAATTAAAATTTATTTGTTTCTTGGGTAATTTCGTTTAAATAGTGTCATATTCAGCTTCTCAGAATCTCTCTCTCTCTTATCTCTCTTATAAATAAAAATATTAAGTTGGTTCGTGTACACTTCAAAAACTCAAAAAGTTCTGCATTGATTGAGCTCAAAATTTGACACGATGTAAAAAGTTATTTATTTTTAAAACAAAGTTTACAAAGTTAGTTATTTTTAAAATTTATTTTTCGTGACAGTTTTGTTTCTCATTGTTTATTAATGCAACCAATGTGTGAAACAACCCAGTGTTGGAGGGTACAGTTAGTTTACTATATTTATTAGATGGGAATCAATTCCTTCGAGAACAATGTCTTTTTTTATTGCAAGTCATCCTATAACAAACTTTTCTGTGAATCAGCAAGAATTTAAGGAGTAAAGAGGTTACAAGCATACAAAGAAATCCATATTTATAATATACATAGGAAGATAGTATAAACGGTACTTCTACTGCTGTATGGTGAAGCTTAATTCATCATCTCATTAACTGGCACCCGGATGTGGTAACAAGTGTTGACGAGGGCTAGTGTTTCAAGTGGTTTTAAGGGGAGGTGAGGAGGAGGGGTTGATTTTCTTAATGCTCACTAACAATCTTGTAAGCCGTGTATTTGCTAGCTAATTTAATTTTAATAAAATTAGAGTTTGCCATCACTCCAAAACGTCGGTGGTGAGTGACACTATACAGAAGGGACAGGATACATTAATTTTAAGCTAATCTACATTAAAGTAATACTAAAGGCGAGTTCATGTGATTAAAAACTGACAATACTTTATGACTGTATTTAATTTAATAGTACGGTTAGACTACAATGTATGTTTAAAACTCAAAACTAAACTTTACAAAAGAAAAAAAAAATTAGTTTGAAAGAAATTTTCTTTATATTTGTCAAAGTTTTAGCAAGAGGCGTTTTTGTGTGAGTATATAATACAATACACATTCGAGAGATACGACGTCCAAATAAAGATGAGTCCGGGTGGTGAGGGGCGTCCATGAGGTGACGGATTCATTCTGTAGGTATCGCAAGAGCCAACTAAGGGAGCAAACTACGCAGAACAACAGCACTGCAGAGAGAAGTAAAAGTTGACACAAACCCTATACCAACCTGTCTGGCCAGCGTGGTAGAGTGTGCCAAAACCTGCTTTCTAAAGAGAGGCCTATGTCCAGCAGTGGACAAATAGAGGCTGTTGATGATGATGACGAAAGATACGAATCCCAGTCACATGAGCTGAACTCAGTGAAATAAATTATGATGAATTTTACAATTTAATGCTCCTTAAATTAAATTTAAAACATTTATTTGTAACTTTATATTACATTCACAAAAATGATTAATTTTAAGCAGTTTCGCGAATATCTTAGGCTCAAAACGCCCACGCTTCAGTTTAGAGCCGTTGGAAATTATACTCGTAAATAGTTTTAAATTAACTTTAGAGTCTTAAGCCGTCGTCTTACAGTACCCTGTGGTTACTTCCTCCGAGGCATACAAACTGATTGAGCCTGTTCTAGGTCTGCATAGATTAGAGGCAGTTCCATTCTAACCTTGCAAAACTTGTTGTACTGTTAACAGCGATGAATTTGACTGTATAACAGTGCCTCCCGCCATTATTCAGTATTGTGAGAATTCCGGTACATTCTTCATCTTAAATACATAGAAATATATCCATTGACATTAATGAATACTAAATACTAATAAAATTATTAATCGAATATTGCAGAATATAAACAAAATCTAAGACGGCAAACGGAATATTTATGTGAACCGGATTCATTAATCTCTTGTGTAGTAATAATAACTACTTCATACGTAATAATTACTTATGATAATGGTGCTTTATCAAAAAAATGGCGGCTATTATTGTTATGCAGGCACATTTAGTGATACCTAGGCAGTTTTAGCTACATTTTAATTGATCCATCCAGACCATAATTGGGTACGGGTCTTCTTTCATAACGTAAAAAACATAATCAAATAACCAGATGAAAAGGTTAAGTGAATCAAAGCCGACGAAACAGCTCATAAAAGTAAGGAGTGGTAAGAGTGTGGCGACAAAAGCTACGAATGGCGATGACTAACAGTTCTAAGTAATTAAAGTTCGCGTTCCGCTAGAGCGCAATCTATCTGAACAATCTAAACTCTGACAAATACGAACCGTACAGGCCACATTCGATTTAAAACTCTGCGGGAACAGACTCGAAGAGAAAAAGAACACTTGTACTTGTAGTATTTGATTTAAATTCACTATCATAATTTTAAATTATATGGAAATCTAAATATGGTTCAGAATTCTTTGATGGGAAAGCTGTTTTTCATTTTTATGACATTAGCTTGACAAAAGAAGCACTTGAAACACCGATAAGAGAGTTAGTAATTTTCATACAAAGTTTTTGTTCCTAAAGAACATCAATCTATTTTTACTAGAGTATGTTGCTATCACTATTGCTATTAATTGTTTTAAATTTATTTTAAACGCATAAAACACATAACAATATATATATAATATAGATAAATAGTAGTATAGATAATAGATAAATGGGAGCTACGTCTGCCAACGAACTGTTGTGCAGTTTGGCAGAAGTAATTGAATATTGTAATACGTTTTTAAATTTAAATAAACAATATTATTATATTATTATCAATTAAATCAAAAATCACAAATACATCGTTTAGATCTGGACCGTAACGTAACTCATATGTGCATTTGCTTTCGTCGCCTCAAATGAATTTGAACTTAACTCTTCTATTACCTAGCTGCATTAATATTAGCTATTGCAGATGTACCTACACACGGTAAACAAAAAACCTGTATCAGTAGTACGAAGTACCTGTGATTTTAATAAGGATTGTGTTGGGTTGCATAGTTTGCTCCAATGTTCATATTTTCCTAAGATTCCTATTCCGCTAAGTTATCGACGTTTTTCGAGAAGGACAGTTGATTAAAAAAAAGTTACTTACCACCTTTCAATACAGTTTTCTTTAGGCAAGAGCGGTGAAAGACACTGTTAACTAATATCTATGTGATCTGCATGAAATGAAAATAAACTATACTTTAAGAAATCGTTTAAAAACTGACGAAAAATGTAACCAAGTTCCGTCTGAAAGACGAACAAGGATTCAATTTACCATGTGTCAGACTGAGGTATGCCACTGTTTTTGAACTTGCGCTTTTGTGTATCACCTTGATAGATAACTGACAAATGGTAGCCATTATTGTTGGCAACAGGCAAATGAGTTTATTGTTTAACCTATTTTAGTTAAAGATCTAAATAAGTTAGAAATAGGTAATGATCTCTATTGTATATTTTTCTAATTATGCAAGGATACAATCTTTATCATCAACAGACTTTAACAGTCCAATGCTGGACATAGGCCTCTCCTTAGAAAGGAGGTTTTGACCTACTATACCACGCTGGCTAGACGGGTTGGTATAGAGTTTGTTTTAAGCTTCCCTTCTCTTTGCAGTGCTTTTGTTCTGCAGAGTTTCCTCCCTATCTTATGATACCCATAGGATGAATAGGGGCGGTGACACTCCGTATTCTTAATCTGTATAAGAATCAAAGATCCGTAAAAGAAGTATTAATTACCTACGCTCAAGAGCGTTGGCTAGTAATTTGATGTTTAGTGGACTGAGAAACTTCGTTCGGTCAAAAAATACTTTTCTTATTGAGTTTTGTTTAAATAATACATAAAACGTTAGAAAAAAATCCTTTTATCATCTTTTACCCCTTCTGTTCCTGTATTATTTATTCGATTGCACACGCGAGATAACTTCAAGGAAGTTCACGTATGAATATTCAGATTGACTCGCATTACATGTATCAAGTTCTTTAACATGCCTGTTAAATATTCCAATGGCTTGAAAGTTAACCAAAAGTTTCGCTTACTTAAAAGTGAAATTGTCTATAGCTCACAGGCATCTAACGTTTTAAAATTTATTATTATAGTTACCCAGGTAACAGTTATTATTATAGTTACCCAGGTAACATTTGATCTGTCAACATGTTTCCACAATTTTTATTTCATTTTCATTTAATTTATTTGTTATAACAAATTTATAACAAGTGTGTTGTTAACAACACACTTGTTATATATTTGTGTTGTAC